AAAACATCATAAAATTAAAAAAATTAAATAAACATATTTTTATTATTCTCTTATTTTCTTTCTTTTTAAATTCGTATTTTTTTATTATGTTTGAAAATAATTGTAATAAATAATAATAATAAATAAATAAATGACATTTAAGATAAGTAATTTAATTCTGAAACGATTAAAAAATTATAAAATAAATAAATAGTAAATATCAATAAAAATAAAATTAAAGTTGAAAGTGTTTATTTGTAAAAAAATAAGTTTGGAGATTAATGAAAATAAAATTAAAGCTTATAATATTTATTTACGGGTAAACTTTAATGGTTGATCGGAATAAAATTAAAGTTTTTATTTTTTATTTAAATATAAAAAAATATATATAATAATTTTATAAAGTTAATCTTATTAATTTTAAAAATAATGTAGCATAATTATAAAATTCTAAAAAAAATTGTTAATGATCCGATCTCTACACTTAATATAATACAACACTATATGATGAAAATTATATATACATATACACACACACACACACACATATATATATATATATATATATATATATATAAACTTAACTACCTTAGGATTCTCTTACAAAAGATATAATATATACATATACAAAATCATGTACACCTATACAATATAATATCAAATGTGCTAAATTGTATACATTGCAACCTTACTGTCGATCAGCGTCTCCACACAATCATCGTTACATCAGAGTAGTAAACACAAGATAGGTCACACCCAACATGATCATCCACCAAGTCAATCCTGTCATATTCTCATATTAAGTATAATCATTGTAGTCTAACAACAAGAAGAATAGAGGGCGAGCTTGTGAAAGAATCAACATAACAACAATATACATGTACAACTTATACTATACCAACAACTTAAACAACCTTCAATTAGTTTAACACAACATCAACATATCATCAACAAGTACAACTTTCAACCTTCATAAGGACGGAGCCAAGGGGGGACCTACGGGTGCCACGGCCCCCCCAACAATTTTAATTTTTTTTTATATACATATATATTACTATATGGCACCCCCTATTTTTAATATAAACTCATATTTTTAATATAAACTCATATGTATATTACTATATGGCACCCCCTATATGGCACCCCCAGTATTGAAATCCTGGCTCCGTCCCTGAACCTTCATATAGAACTTACAATATAAATAATAATTTCCATGATACAAACTTTTCACCTTAGCACACACAACTTTAATCAATTAATGCAACGTCACGTATATCAACATATGAAGTTTTTCCCACAATAAAGGTAAATTGTTTAAATGATTTAATCCTATCAAATCATTATTTTTTATTTATCGCAACCAAATCAAGTAGATACAACATTATATCTCTTATAATGTTTGGTAAACAACTTAAACTCGTTTCTCAAGTTCACTACTTAAATTAGGAAAGTCTAGCACTACTAATATGATAAAACAACTTGGGTGCGAGTTTATCATAACCTTCAGATGCATATTTAAGCCTCATATAAGATTATTTCGTCAACTACCTTCCAAATATTATGCACCTTTTTAGTAATCAATCAAAGATTTTTTATCCATCGATTTCATACTTTATCCGGTTATTCATTTCATACACGTTGTCTTAACTTGGCTTCTATATGGTTTCACATAAAACTTATAGGAGACAACTTTAAAATAACTATCCATCAAAAAGTCAACTTACTTATTGAAATATCTTTAACTTTGGCTCTTAGAGTATCACAACCTTTATTTACACGATGAGGTATTTTTATTTTTAAGAAAACTTGACTCTCTTATAATTTTTGTGTATCTCAATTAAGACATGTAATTTAACTCCACATGCTTATACAACTAATCAACTTAAATCAACTTACTACATACATCTTTTAACTTTAATCATTTTCGTCAACTCTCATTTATAAATAACTTTAAACATCACCATGCATTATCATAGATCAATTCATAATGAACTATGATCATATAACATCATTTATATACACAAGTCACCATATTTAAATCATTAAACAACTTAGAATATTACATTTTATTTTAGCATATCAAATTCGACACAATTTTTTTCACACATAATGTCATTAAGGTAAAGAGCTTCAAACTTGTTTATGCTTAACGTTAATCGACTGTCGTCTAGTATGGATGAGATAAAGAGTTTTAATTTATGAACTAACATTAATTATTAATTTAACTAAAATAAAGGAAATGAAGAATATGACACATGATTTTTAAAGAGACTCTACTAATAAATTGACATTTGATAAATGAAGATTCTAAATATAAAATTTCAGTTTGAAATACGTTATTAAAATGACATGAGATAAATAGATCACTAGCTTAAAATTGTTTTATACACAATACAAATAAATATAGATAAAGAAACATGCAAACGTTATGATAACTTTGAATATATATTTGACTTATTTTATTTTAAAAGCACATTTATTTATTTATGTCTATTTAATATAATATTTCGAGTAACCAAACATGCATTTAAAACAATCATGTTTTGAGTAACTATTCATTTTGATTGATCCACATGAATGTGATTAAAAAAAAAACATATAATTGGTTTTACGGTGTGAAGTTCTATCACCAAGTTAATTTTAAAAATACTTATTATTAATTATTAATTTAATAATGAGAAAATAAATTATATATCTATAATATAAAATAATTTTGTATTATTATCTAATCATAAACAATTGTACACGATAAACTCGTTAACTTCTACAATAAATAACTAATATATCATAATAACGAAGATAATTAGTAGTTGTTGAGTTGAGAGTTAAAAATAAATATAAAATTAGATTCAATCTTATTAAAGAGGCTATAATATGTTTTATTGATTAAACAAAATATTAATAGTGTTATAAAATTAATAATTTATAATTTAATGTGCTAAATTACAATTTTAATATTTTTTTAAAAATTTAATTTTATCATTTATTTTTAAAAAAATTCAATTTAGTCCTTTATATTGAATGACTTTAAATGATTGTTTCTGTTAAATTTCTAATGGTCAATGTTAAATCAACCCGAGTTGACCATTTACTATATATGTTAAAATAGATTTCGATATGATAAAAGGCGAAACTGAACCTATTGAAAAATATAAAAGATCAATTGAATACGTTTGAAAAGACATAGAATGAAAATAGAATTTTGTATTAGCAGAATTCTATACAGTGGTATTGAAATTGAAATAATACGAAAATAAAACAAAGTATATTCCAACACAACAAATAAACTTTGAACAAAATTTGAAACAACTGTGAATAAAGAAATAAATGCATTCACATAATATAGTTATACGAAGTTAAAGTTTTACAAAGCAATAATAACATTAAAAATTTCCCTAAAAAAAAAAATAACATTAAAAATATGAAGTTTGATTTGCTAACGTAATTATAAAAAATAGCTACTTCAAATAATTTCACACAAAAAATGTTAATCCCCACGAAAAGTTAAAATCGATCTACACAAAAATTGGATAAATATTTTACATTTTAATAACCATCTAAAATTAGTCCACAATAAATCAAATTTGGAGACTTCACAGCTTTGTTAATTTAACTCTCATCTTCGATTAAAATTTGTTGTATTTAACTGGGTGCAAATAGTTAGATTTTGATTGATGCAAATGAGTGTATTCAAGTTCATTTTCCTTCATAATTTTAATCAATAATTAATTACACCAATTTAATTCTTTATATTTTTAATTACTTTATCAGATTTTATGTCACTTCATAATTTATACTTACTATAAAAGAAATATAGAAGTATGTAATTATAAATTTTTTTACATTAACAACTAATTATATCTTTTAATTGTGTTATATCTTTTAATTGTATCATGTCACTATTAAAAATAAATATATTTACAATGACATGACATAATTAAAAAATATAATTAATTATTAGTGAAAAAATTTCACTGACAATGTATAAATGATTAACTATTCTTTTAATATAAAAAAAATTTATATTTTCAATATTTTATATATAACTATTAAAAATACGAAATACTTCAATCTTTCTAGTAAAAATATAATTTAGTTTTATATAATAAATATTAAAGATTAAAATAAAGAAATAAAAAAGAAAAGAAAGAGGAAAGTGGTAACTGTCGATTTAACTAGAAGAACTAGTGTTCACACGGTACCACAAACCCTACCCTCTATAAACCAATTTCCCAATCCTTTCTTCTCAACTCTTTCATTCCAATTTCGAGAGGAATTCATTTGAATTAGGGTTTCCCAGCATGGACGCTCAGAGAGCTCTTCTCGACGAACTCATGGGTGCAGGTACGTCTCTCTTTTCTCAATTCACCGAATCCACTACTCCAATTCAAAACGCATTAATTTGTTTCGTTTTGTTGTTTCTTAGCGCGCAACTTGACGGAGGAAGAGAGAAAGGGGTACAAGGAAGTGTCGTGGGACGATAAGGAAGTGTGTGGATTCTACATGGTGCGCTTTTGCCCTCACGATCTCTTCGTCAACACGCGCAGTGATCTCGGTGCGTTTCAATTCCATCAATAACCATTCAATTTCAATTCAGCTACACTGTTACTTCATGTATTATTAGATTGTCGCACTCTGCGAATCGGAATGGCTTCGTTTTAGTGTGTTGTTCTGTTTCATGCGTTTTTTGTGAGCTTTGAGTGAGGTTAGTTAATAAATTCGTAAGTAATATATCTGTTGAATTGAATTGCTTGGGCAATCATAGGGATCTTCTTTATTGTAATGTCTGAGACTGCCTTGACGGATTTCATTTTTTCCCCTTTTTGCTTAATGCGCGTAAATTTGTATGCAGGACCTTGCCCGAGAATTCATGACCCAAAGTTGAAAGAAAGGTGCACATTTAAATGTATTTTTATATAATTTAGGTTTTGTAATGCATATCTAATGACGAGTTGTATGGAACTTCTTTATGCTGTGTTTGGTGGGAGAGAAAGAGGGTGGAGAAGAGGAGAGAAATGAATGGAAGTTAATGTTGATGTGTGGTTTGGTAGATCAGAAATAGTGAGGAACTGTGACTATACCGTATTCAATATAAGTTTCATGATTCCTGCTTCAATTGGTGCTATGGTCGTATGTTCAATATAGACCTTACTGATGCTTGCTTCTTTTCCCAAGTTTACTATTCTTTGCCTTCTGTACATTTGACTCCAAAATATGTTGATAAGTGAAACTACAAGTCTCAATACATTGTTTTTAGATTATTCCATAACTATGTAGTTGAATTTTAGATTTAATGAGTTTTACTGTGTTGGTAACTTCAGTTTTGAGAAATCACCAAGACATGATGCATATGTACCCAAATTTGAAGCTGAACTTGCTCAATTTTGTGAGAAATTGGTAGGTCACTTACTTGTTGACATACCCTCCCAACACTCTTGTTTGTTAGTTGATGAATCACTCTTTGTATTTTCTGTAATAATCACAGGTGATGGACTTGGATAGAAGGGTAAGACGTGGGCGGGAACGTCTTGCTCAAGAGGTAGAGCCAGCACCACCACCACCACTGACAGCTGAAAAATCTGAGCAGTTATCTGTTCTGGAGGAGAAAATCAAGAATCTGCTGGAACAAGTTGAATCTCTTGGTGAAGCTGGGAAGGTTGATGAAGCTGAAGCTCTTATGAGAAAGGTGCTAAAGATAATGCAATACCTTTTTCCCTTGCATATAAAATGGACATCTAAAGATTTACCTCTTGCAGATCTGAAGAACTTTTGATTAATTTACTTTTCCGGGGACTTTCTCTTACAGGTAGAGACACTTAATGCTGAGAAGACAGCCTTAACACAACCTCAAAATGACAAGGTGTTGATCCTTGGTCAGGAGAAGAAGATGGCACTCTGTGAAATATGTGGTTCTTTTCTTGTTGCAAATGATGCTGCAGAAAGGACTCAGTCTCATGTTACAGGAAAGCAACATGTTGGTTATGGCATGGTTCGTGACTTCATAAATGAGTTTAAGGTGAGTTTTGTTGTCTTGAACCAACTTACACTAAAATATTTATAAAATATTTCTTGATTTAAGTTGGTATTGTTTTTCAGACTGCTAAAGAGAAAGCTAACGAAGAGGAAAGAACAGCTCGGGAAAGAGAGGCAGAGGAACGGAGGAAACAGAGGGAGAAGGACCATGAGAGAAGGAGACGAAGTGATTCAAGTGATAGGGAGAGGCATCGTGATAAAGATCACAATAGGGAACGGGATAGGTATAGAGATAGAGACTCAGACCGTGAAAGGTCTCGGGAGCATGATGTTAGAGGTTATCGAGATGGGGGAAGGGGGGTGGATTATAGGATGAGGAATGGAAGAAACGGAGGTAGAGACAGGTACCGTGATCGGAGCAGGTCACGCTCCCCTGTTAAGCATGGCTACAGAAGGTCTTCTTGAAGTCCAGTTTGCTCAAATTAGTGGAATTTCGTGATAGATGTCAGAATTTGAATTTAAAAGAGGTAGTCTTTAATATCCCAAGACTTGCATAAATATGAGCTTTTGGAGTCTTGAGTTTTTTTTTTTCCATCAAGGGTGAATTTACTCTTTTCCCATCTCAGAGCTTTGTTGAGACTATACAATCTCCCTTTCATCAATATTATTAATGGAGAAAAGGGTTGAGGTAGGTATTTCACTGTTGTAACTTTTCTTACAATTTGTTTTGCACCTTGATTTAAGTTATTTATGATGATTCATCTCTGAAGCATTGTGTGTAGTCTTTCTTTTCCCTCATTTCTGGAAATCAATTGATTGATTTAAGATGTCAGACACAAAATTACATGAATGATTGTCATTGCTGCCGAGGGGGATGGTTTACTCTTGTATTGAGGTAACATGTGAATCTTATACCTTGAGACAAATAGATTGATATTTGTTCAGCATAGAAATTTTTGTTTTCTTTTCCCTTTTCTTTTTTGTTTCATTACATTTGTTTCTTAAGGTGGTATAAACCAACACAGGTTTAAAAAAAATGCTGCTTATTCTGACATGAATTTGACATTGAACTACATTCCGAAGGCACCAGTTTAGAAGATATAGGTAAACTTGCTGAATCTGTTGTTAGTTATCTCCCAAATCCATGGCATCATATTTATAATATATATGGTGTGTGATATCATCCGATATGATCATATATTGAATGGAGAACTAATTTTTATTCCCTACTTTCCTGATGCCATTCTTAATATGGGTTTCCGATGGGGAAAAAGTGCTCAATTGGGAACTGGTTTGGAATGGTAATTACAGGATGATGACGTATCATCCTCTATAAAAATATTTGATTTACATAAGTGTTGTTTGAATTGAAAATTCAAAGGGCTGGCAAATACAAGGATTTGGTTGTCTTTGCCGAGTGATTCGATTGCAGAATTATTGACATTTGTATGAAATACATTCGTTGAACTGGGATGCAGAATGTCTCCTTTCATGAACAAACTTTCTACCTTTATTGTCTGGGTGACTGGAGGTAATTGGCTCTCATCATATCAACGTTTAATTTGGTGTTCAGGAACACAAATATCCTTGTGATCTTTGATGGCTAGATTGTTTGGTGTGCAGGAAAACAATCGCCTCTTGTTATAAGAAAATTTTGCTTATTCTTTTGATATATGGAGAAAGCGATGTGCTTTTTACTGTTCAAAATGGCACTCAAATCTTTGATGAACATACATTGAACATGCGTTCTTAATTCTTGTAAAGGTTCAAGGAAATAAAATGAGCGATTTTTGGAGCAATAACCCAGTTTTGCAATAAATAAAAAAAATAGTTCATGTTGCGTCAAGTCGCTCGCCCTCGTGTTTGAACTCTTTTTAGTTGCCTAGTGCAAGTCATGGAACGATTTAACAACAAGCGAGTGTGAGAATGTTTTTTTTCTTTTTCTTTTTTTCGATTGTTCGACAAATATGTAGTGGTAGCAAATGCACGAGCTTGTGCCAAACATATAATGGTTGTCCCTAACCATCGGTTAAGTACTTGTTTAGTACAGTAATATATTCAAATCAATTATCTATAACGTAGTATATTTATTATAAAATTTAGCACGCATTTAAATTATGTTTCTAATTTATATTTGCTTTCAATTGTTCTTGAACGAATAAATATAATCGTTTAAAGACATTTGGAAGTGCAAGAACTTCTAATTTCTACATGGGTTTTTACTCGGTGAATCGGAGACTTTTACCTAGAAATCAGTTTATACTTGGAATCTGTTTCAACATAGCAATACAACTTCAAGCACTTCCTCTTGTTCCGCGAAGCTTATCATTCGGTCATTTACATTCAGAAAAAATAATATCCTTTAACTTTTTTTAGGTTGAATTGTACGTTTATTATTTTACTTTGATTTCACCGCAATTTTTATCTATAAATTTTTACTAAAAAAATGAACATCTAGCCAATTTAGGGCATGGATGTTTTAAGTAAAAAAATGATAGAACTACATTGCAACATTATAAAAATTTGAGATACTAAATTTAAGTAAAAATTATTGCAAATAAATAAATTCACACATTGGTCCTAATAAAAGCACCAAAAATCTTTTCCTATGTATTCTACGTACATTTCTATATACAAATCCATGCTAGACTTCACTTGAAGATACTTCTCCGAAAGTAAATCTTTTTATTTTAATTTTTTTGTTCTTTCTTGATATATACTTTTTTATTTACAAATTTTGATAAAACCTTGCTTAGATGTAATCCATCAATAGAAAAGGTAAAATATTTTGTCAACTAGAGTCAACAACTTTTATTGTCTCTTTTATGTCTTTGTATAATATGCATATATACGGTAAAATAATTATGAATATAATTATTTATAATATTACATAATATCAATTACTTAATATTTAAATAATGAGAATACAAAATTTCACACTACCTTGTTACGTGAAAATGGTGAAATATCACGTAAGATCTATTCTCCTTTAATCTTTCAGAATTTACTCAACAATGTGTAACTGGCCTTCTCAATTTGTATTTCGATAGTTCAATTTCTCTCATTGAATTATATTTATTTTTTCAACATTAAAATAAGTTTACAAGTTTGTTAAACTTATTTGAACAAAATCAGACATCTGCACAAAAAAAACAAAAGGGTTGAAGGAGACATGGAAGATTATTTTCACGCAAGAGCTGCATCTTCGTAGATTTGCTTCCAATACAAACGCATTACAAGCGAAGGAAAGAAAGCAATAATAATAATACATTTTTATGCCGACAGACTAATCTTTCTCTTCTGCAGTTCTCCAATAAATCTAAAGCAGATCGTATCCTTTTTGTAACTAGTTACAAATTTAATATGCAGGTAGGCAAAAAAATATCCACAAGAAGTAGGCATTGCCGATGTAAAAGAACCTCCTTGGAAAAGGAGGAGGGGTGGAAGGGGCTCAATTGCTTTAAGTTAGTAAGGAACATTCAAGAATCCAAATTCAGTCGGCGCATCTTACAGACAAGGTTTGCTGTTGGCAGATCAAGTTGGTTGGCTGGATCTGTCTTCAAAAGATCTTTTAGCTGATTTCTTGGTGTAGAAAGACAACTTTGGAATGTAGCCAGAACTGGAGGAATTGGCATTGACAGAGCAGAAAGCACGTTACTAAGATACTCAATATCGACTGATAGCTGCTGTGCTCCACGATCTGAAATATACTGAATCCCACGTAACTGCTCTATGTAAAGTGCAGTTGCGCCCTCTGCAACCTAAAATTTAACGCAGCAGAAAAAAGTTCGTCATTAGTCATTTAATGCGCAGAGAGAATAGAAATTTACGGTCTAAGAAGGATACCAAGGCCAGAATCATTTTGAGGTGAAAAGGGGAGGAAAATAATCCTTCCTTAATGCACAAGCCTATATTACATCATTTCATCCATCTACTTACGTTGGGAACTAGTCATGTCTTACTTTTGGGATAAATTTTACTGCCATGTAACATTTCTGCGCTATCTGAGCATCATGTAGGCTGTCTAAACATGTATATCAAGGCAGAAAATAAATTGATGCCATGACAAGTATATTATCTTCATGCTGAAGCACTTAATTCACATTACAGGGAGATTCTATGTAAAGAAGAAGCTATTTTTTGTTTGGTTGCAATTACAGAAAACGCTTTTCATTTTAAAAGGTAGTTATATTTCAGTTTATTTGGTTTTGTTATAATTATCCTTTTGGTTCCAAAAGTTTAATGAACTTTACCCTATACATACCCTTTTTATTTCCTTCCAATCTCTAGTTTTATAAACATTCATTTTTAGTCCCTATAGCAATACAATACAGAAACTTCAAAAAAAAAAAAGATATGCATAGAGGCTAAAATAGAACAATTTTACCTATAGATTAAAAGGTAAAATTTAAGAAATTATAGGAACCAAAAGGAGAATTAAACTTTTTTTCTTTCAAAAAAGTTACTCAGTAGCTTCTCAAAATAATCAGAAATCTGACTCCTTTTTTTTCATATTCTGATTTTTTTTTTTAAAAGGATAACACCAACAAAAAAGTGATCTTTTGTGAAAAAAGCTTAAACAAACAGGCTGACAAAATGAAACATTGATTCTAACACTGATATTCCTTTATATTATGAGTTACCTTGAACATCCATTCAGTTGCAAAGAACTGTGCCTCATCATTGATTTCGTTGGTAGAAATTCCCTCCGCAAGTGGCTCCAATTGTTGGGGTAAAGTAAGAAGATATTCACCAACACTGGTGACATAGGATTGTGGATATGCGCTGAAGGTGGGGAGGGGAAAGGCTCCTTGTTCCTCAACTGATGACCAAATTGGCAAACGGGACACATCACTAAGGCGTTGCCGTACTTTAGATATGAGGACATCGTATACAAGTTCATTAACTGTGTCTGCAAATGCTGCAACTCTTTGAGATGCAAGGGGAAGTGCATGAAATCGGGGATCTTTGGACTGCAAAAAACAGTGAGATGCTTTATGTAAGACCAGAAAATAAAAAGACAAAGTGTCTGAAGTGACATGCAATGAATGTCAACACAGCAAAAGGAACACCAACGTAATCTCGTGGTTTTAAAAAGCAATGAATCACATTCATTTTTTCAATAAAAATGGGGAGTTAATTTAATTTGAAAACCAAAGGAATAAATTTTAGTTCAGGTTTAAATTTGCATTAACCATTTTCAGCTTACAAGAACTCGATGAAAGAAAACATTTTTTCCTTTTCTTTTAGCTATTCTATTTTTGCAGGCAAAACATCTAATTTTATATAAAGAAAATAGAAAAATGAATGTTTTTTCCACTTCTTTTTCAGCAAAATTATGGTAGAAGCATGTATAAGGAGGGACACAAAACTAAGGGATTAAAGGAATGTGCAAAGACACCAAATCCATAAGAACTCTGACTTCAGAATCTTGCTTATTTAATTTGTTGAATTATAATATTTACCAATGTGAATAATTAACATTTTAGGGAGGGGGGGATAGGGGTAGTTAAATCATCATAACATTCCAGCGCACTGCATGGAGGGAGAAAGGAATATTCAAAAACAGAATGTTAAAAGGACTGGGTTATATCCTCCCAATTTCAAATTAAAAATCTATTCACTATCCCTTCTATCTATCTCTAAATCAAAAGAAAAAGAACAAATGAGACTAAAATAAAGCTAATCTTATAAATACCTGATTTAAAAGGTTAAAGAGTTTCCTGGCCTTCTCAGGCACATCAACCAACCGCAGTGTTGCCATATCCAAGGCAGCCCTTCCACCAAAAGACGGTTCCCCATCTACATTAATATTTTTAGTCTGGTTTTGGTCTAAACTTGAACCAAATGCAGAAAAAGATAGAGTTGTGCTCAATCTAGCAAGAGTAGCTCTTAAAGATGCTTCAAATACAGAAGATCTGCTTGTCAAACTATCTGCAACTGTCAGGATCTGCAACGCCCCTTGGACTATGGACCATTCCTCCTCATTTGAGATCAAATCAACTCTCCGAGCATTTTGGTTTCCATCCTTCTTCTCTATCTCCTTTTTAACAGTACCATCACCACCATAATCCACACCACAGACAGTTCTCAGTGACTTGAGAGTTTCTTGCAGAATGGAAATGTATTGTAGCATTATGTCATCAAGGGCAAGAATAAGCTCATCTGCCTCAGAACCTCCAGTGAAGCCAATGCATCTCTCTGCAGCTGCTTCAAGAAGTATAATTATTTGGGGAATAGACTCCTCCATCCTTCGAACTGTTTCACTAAGTTCAACACCTTGGGCTCCCACCCCTCGAATAACAGCTCCTCTTAAATCTACTCCTGCAATCTCAGAGGAAAGGATGGCACGCTCCATTTGTCCATACCTGTAGAATAGAGTAAAGATAAAATTGGATATTTCTAGGATTTGGAAAAGGGTTTTATGCATACATATGTATAATTATATATATATATATATATATATATATATATCAGAATAATGAGTATGACAAACCAAAAGACCAGCCAAAAAGGCCAATGTTTTATTAAA